AGGGAAAGAAATGTGGGGAAGAAAATCTAAAGTTTAAAAAGAATTGTATTCTAAACTTTTAATGATATAAAAAAGATTCTTCCGCTTTATAATAATATATTCACATGTTGCATAAAGAACATTAAGACCAATTTTCAGTTGAATTCAATGACTAAAAATAACCAGAGGACAGTTTTAGCAATTTGGGCAGTAGTCTCAGAAGCATTCAAACATACTTTAACCCAAGTAAAACAACACACAAGTAGTGATCCTGAATGATTCAGTAAAGTGGTATGTTCACTAAGGCTAGATAATTAAATGCCAGCATGGGGCTAGCTCTTGTACTGTAAGACTTTTAAACTAAGTGCTAATAATGACAATTAAAAAAAAATTTAGGATTAGAGGAAAGAAAGCTCTTCTCCTTGGTCTCTAAAGTGTTCAAACAGTACAAACATACAGAGATGTTCTCAAAATATTCGTTTAACATTTATAATAATAAGAGCTACCACTCTGCCTCCTCTGTCAAGCACTATACTAGACATTATTTATACTTTAAAATCCATAACAAACCCTAAAAAGTAGCTAAGACTCCCATTTTGCATAGGAGGGTACGAAAAGATATCTCTCCAAGGCAAACAGCAAGTAAGTGGCAGAACCAGAATCTGAATTCAGAACTGACTGGTTCCAAAATCCAACTCTTCTCAATACCCAAGGCTTATATAATGTCAGTATTAGCCTGTAGTTACTCAATTCTAAAAGGAATAATTTCTTTTATATTGGAATTAGTAATAAACTTTAAGTAAAACCAAAACTCATAAAAGGTACTCTACTTAAAAACTTAAGTATTTAAGTCGAAGTTCTATTTTCCATAAAGAAAAAAAAATTATATTCACTGTGTAATATACATACATGTGTTAGAGTGGTCATTTATTTCCAAAAGTTGTTCAAAATTAATAAATGCCAAAATTTAAGTTCAATCACTACTCATTAATATTTAATATTATCAGTAAATGTTTAAAGTGGGTACATATGTTAATATAAGCTTAACACAGCACAAAGAAGTCCTGATCTCTGCAACATAGAAAAGCCAATTTATTAGAACCATATATCATATTTGATAAAGAACTTACTATTCAAATATGAGTGACAATTATTAAATAAATGTCCAGTCCCAGTGGAATATTATTTATTTTTAGAGAGGTTTTTTTGTTATTGGAGTATAATTGCTTTACAATGTTGTGTTAGTTTCTGCTATACAATAAAGTGAATCAGCTATATGTATACCTATATCCCCGCCCTCTTGGACCTCCCTCCCACCCCCCCTTCCCAATCCCACCCATCTAGGTCATCACAGAGCATCAAGCTGAGCTTCCTGTGCTTTATAGAATGTTCCCGCTATCTATTTTACGCATGGTAGTATACATATGTCAATACTAATCTCCCAGTTCGTCCCACCCTCCCCTTCCACACCTGTATCCACATGTCCATTTTCTACATCTATGTCTCTATTCCTGCCCTGCAAATAGGTTCATCTGTACCATTTTTCTAGATTCCACATATATGCGTTAATATACGATATATTTTTTTCTCTTTCTGGCTTACTCCACTCTGTATGACAGACTCTAGGTCCATCCACATCTCTACAAATGACCCAATTTCGTTCCTTTTTTATGACTGAGTAATATTCCATTGTACATATGTACCACATCTTCTTTATCCACTCATCTGTCGTTGGACATTTAGGTTGTTTCCATGTTTTGGCTACTGTAAATAGTGCTGCAATGAATATTGGGGTACACGTGTCCTTTTGAGCCAGTGGAATTTTAAATAAATACCTCCCACAAAATCTAAGTCAGATGAACTAGAAGAAAATTTTAACATTAAATAAAAAAATTCTCTGAGTGTAATACCCCAAGGTCTGATTTGCTCTTTGTTCTTTATTCTGCCCTAGACATACATTATAATTTATGGCAATTAAAAGGGGAAAATAAAAGAAATACAACTGGTATAATTAGTGAGTAAGGTCACTGTTCCAAAACACTATGAACTGTTTGATAAACAGTTATAGATTACAAGATTCTTAGCCGGAGAACTCATACAGTCAGCTCTTATTACCTGTGGGTTCTGCATTCACAGATTCAACCAACTGTGGATCGAAAATATTTGGGGGGAAGAAAAAATTCCAGGAAGTTCCAGAAAGCCAAACTTGAATTTGCTGCACTACAGACAACTTATTTTCTTTTAATTTTATTTATTTATTTATTTATTTATTTATTTATGGCTGCGTTGGGTCTTTGTTGCTATGTGCGGGTTCTCTTTGCGGTGGCTTCTGTTGTTGCAGAGCACGGGCTCTAGGCGCATGGGCTTCAGTAGCTGTGGCTCGAAGGCTCTAGGGCACAGGCTCAGTAGTCATGGCGCACGGGCTTAGTTGCTCCGCGGCATGTGGGATCTTTCCGGACCAGGGCTCGAACCCGTGTCTCCTGCATTGGCAGGCGGATTCTTAACCACTGCGCCACGAGGGAAGCCCCCAGACAACTATTTACATATCATTTACATTGTGTTAGGTATTGTAAGTAATCTAGAGATGATTTAAAGTAGATGGAAGGATGTGCACAGATTACATGTAAATACTACACCATTTTGTATAGGGAACTTAAGCATCTGCAGATTTTCTTGTCTGCGGGGGGTCCTAGAACGAATCTCCCGTGGATATGGAGAGACAACTGTATACTTTTATTTTTTACTGGGAAACATTAAACTACTTTTTATAACACACTACTTACTTTTATAAGTGTAGACACCACTTCAAATGATCCAACCACCAAAAGTATAGGGGCTATTACAATGAGAGGAAGTAATGAATATCCTATAACTCCAAGAACTTGGCCATATGCAACCTGTGAATTTTCAAAATGTTAAATAAATATCACAGAAATCAAGATACTTATTTTAACCACTATTAAACATCATATATACTTTGTTGTACTTACATAAATGTGAGAATTAAGAAAAAAGTATCATACGCATTATATTTCAAATTATCATATAGTCTTTTATATTCATGGACAATGTCAACAACCCACCGTGATTTCAATTATCAATTCTGATATACCCAAGTCTACATTTCCTGCCCTCTCTCTTTTGAGCTTCAGACTTATATATCCAATTACCTTGAGTATATCTCTTAGTCACTATTTCCCTTGTTGTAGGAGGATTATTTAAAGGAACCACAACCATCTTATTTTGATGAAAAATTCAAGTCTAGAGAAGCTAGATGTGACAAATGCAGACTAGAAGGGAAGGGAGAGAAGGTAGGAGGATTGAAGAGAGAAATATTTTTTAGTGGCTACTGTGTGCCACACTCCGTGATAGAGCTTCACATATTGTGAAGATCAAAGGCACTAACAACCCTATGTGATATTACTCTCCCTATTATGAAGAAAGTGATTCCAGAGAGAAAAAGAGCTTTGTTCAGGAAAGCAAAGCTAGTTGGTAAGAGTTCAAATTAAGATCTAGGTCTTTTAACTTCTCTATCAACAATCCTAAATTACCAAAACATTTAGTGATACCTTTTTTCACATAAAAATTATATGAGGTTTTGTCTAGAATGTAAGAAATAATATGCAAACAAATGTCCCTGTTAGAATTATTTTAAATTTTCATAAGCAGAGTGAGAAAATTACATAGATAAATGTTATTCTACATTTATTCAAGAGTTTTAAGTTAAGATGATGGATTGAGTGCATATATCTAATACCATTCCTTCCTGAAACTCCATTAAAAGGGAAGGAAAAAAGGAAACTCCTATTTTTTTTTTTTTTTTTTGCAAACTCCTTTTTATAAGAGGCATAAACAGGAGATTAGAAGACAGGACAAGAGCAACTTAATTTTGGAAACTGGAAAGCAGAAGAACAAGAGCTTGGTGGAGACCTTTCCACCAAGTATGAGGAAAAGGCTCAAGAGTTCTGCATTTAGCATTCAGTGTTCATAGAGTAAGCCTGATATGAGTCAGCACCCACATGACATAGTAACTCCGCCTGGCATCCCTTGTGCTTTACCCTCTTCACAGAGAGTTGAATTCCAGAGTGCTGGAATTCCTAGGTTTATAGTAATTCATAAAGTCTAATTTAATGGAGCAGTGATTCTCAAGGTGTGGCCCATGGACCTCTGGGGGTCCCAGAGACTCTTCTTAAAGACTGGAACGTCAAAACTATATTTTGTAATAGGGGACTTCCCTGGTGGTCCAGTGGTTAAGACTCCACGCTTCCACTGCAGGGGGCACAGGTTCAATCCCTGGTGGGGGAACTAAGATCCCGCATGCCTCAAGGCACTGATAAAAAATAAAATAAATAAAACTTAAAAAAAAAACCCACAAAACTATTTTTTATAATAGTAATAAAACATTATTTGCCTTTTTAATTGGGTTGATATTGGTACTAACAGAACAAAAGCAATGGGTAAAACATGCTGCTTTAGCACAAATCAAGGTGGCATTAAACATAATAGTAGTTACTGTGTTCTTTACTACCCCACAACTCACAGGAAAAGAAGAAAAAAAAGCCAGTTTCACTTAAGAATGTCCTTAATGAAGCAGTTAAAATGATTCATTTTATTAAGCCTCAACCTTTGAATATTTCTTTTTAATATTCTGTGTAACAAAATAAGTACACAGAAAGCACTTCTTCTGTATCTTGATTCAACGGTTATCCCAAGGAAGAGCATTTGTACAACTGTGTAAGTGAAGAGTTGAATTAGATGCTTTATCCATAGAATACCACTTTTACTTGAAAGAACAACTGAAAGACAAACTATGATTATTCAGAGTTAGGTACTGACAGGCAACATGAATGAAAATGAATGAAGTGAGCCTACTATTTCAAGGAAAACAACTGACAGTGTTTCTTCCAAATTACAAAATTCTCTCTCTCAAGAAAAAAGTAGAATTTTGGAAAACTTGTATCCAACACTGTTATCTTGATAGTTTTCCAATACAGATTTTTCTGATGACATAGGTGGTGATATTAATGAATGTGATTTTCTGACACTGTATAGTAAAATGAGTTAACATTTGGAAGATCTACAAAGCTCAGGGAACTAATGTTTTCTTAGTTGATCGTGCATGGGTAAAAAGATCCATCCAAAGTGAATTTCAATGATACAGCGTATAAAAAGTTCACTGATATAGTTTGAGATTCCTCACTACAACAAACCTTTAAGAAAATATTACTTGTTGAGTGTTGATGTAGTATCAGAGTAGAATAATCATAATCATCCAAAAAATGTATTGAAATACTCTTCCTTTTAAAATTATATACCTGTGTGAGGCCTTTTTACTTTAACCAAAATATAGCGTAACAATTGAATGCAGAAAGCAGATATTAGAATACAATTTCCACTAACCCAGACATTAAAGCTACTTGCAAAAATGTAAAACAATACCTTTTTCTCACTTTGTTTTGAAAAATAGTTTTCATTAAAATGTATTTTTTATGTTAAAATGTATTTGGTTTACTTTTAGTTTTAAATGAATAAATATATATTTAAAATTTTTATTTTAACTTCTAACATGGTAAATATCAATAAATAAAACCTACAAAAAGAAATCTCTTTGGGGACCTGAGATCAAAAAGTTTGAGAACTGCTGTAACAGAATAAATTGCATGCTTCCCTAAAAAGCTATAAATTATTTATGAGTGAAATTGGATTTTTTTCTTTCCTCTTTATTTCTCGTAACATTTATACTAATATTTACATCACCTTAAAAGAAGTAGCATAACTTAAAAGCAATTCTGGGACAAAAGGCAGTTATAATGAACATAGCTACTGATACTACCTGCAGTATCAAAAATAAAGCTTACCATAAAAAACAAAGGCTATTTTCAAAATTAACCACTTACTTCTCCACCAAGAACTCTGGCCAGTAAGAAAATTGTTAATGAACCAAATATCCAAATGGTTATAATCCATGAGACCACCTTAAGAGAAAAAAAATTCATGCAGTTAATATCTGTGTACCAAATAAGCTGATAATTTCCCACGAACTCAATCCTCTACCATATAAGATATTTTGGTACACCCAACTTCAGGTCATAGAGAGTTTGGGTTCCCAGGTAAAACTTAGTAAGAATATAAATGTGTAATGTAATTTTACATCCAAATTGAAAATTTAGCAATGATCAATTGCCTAAGGAAACCTTAGTATTTTATGATCTATAATAAAAGAAATGCAAAGAAAGACCAAACTGTTGACTCCCAACCCCTGCTTTATAGCATTTTGGAAGGTAAAGTCATCTGTGAAACAAGTTACCAGTCTTCTCAAGAGGTCTCCAAAATTTACATTAATTACACATTTATCCAAGTAATAGAATGTGGATGATACTTCACACAATTTTAACTCCTGAGACTTGACACAGTAATGATACGTGCATATATTTCCAAGTTCTGTCTGCTTGTGGGGGGGGTCTAGAAATAATGACACCCAGTAGCAACATAAGCACACTTATTGCCCAGGTCCTGGTTTCTAAATATTCCCCAAAAGGCACTAGGACTCCCTAGAAAAATGACTGATTCAGGGCTGGGACAGGGACAATAAAAGGTGAGCCCAGAACACTCTGTGGAGTCAGAAAGAAAGGAAGTACTCAAAAAAGATGGGGATATGTTAAAAGGATACAGAAGCTAACCTGAAGGCGCTCCCAATGGCTAAAACTGCAACAATCTGAGCAATAAAATAGGTGATAGTACTGTATTATAGTCCAGAAAATAAAATAAATATCCATGAGTCCATACTGACAAAAATAAATGAATGGTTAAGTAATGACAAAGAAACATTCTATGGAGATAAGAATCTTCTGTTTTTTTTTTTTTTTTTTTTTTTGGGGGCGTCCATGGCTCACGGGCCCAGCCGCTCCGCGGCATGCGGGATCCTCCCGGACCGGGGCACGAACCCGCGACCCCTGCATCGGCAGGCAGATTCTCAACCACTGCGCCACCAGGGAAGCCCCTTCTGTTTTTAGCCTTAGAACACTTTGTTCAAATGAAAGATTATATGAAATAGATAAAATTCATATAGAGATGTTCTACATGAAGCGTTGGTGGTGGGCAGGAGACCAGACCCCCATTCAACTTCTTCAATGGTCCTTATACTTGCAACAGAATACTTGATATGAACTACTGATCCAAGGTAAATATTAATAGGACCAGTATTATATAACGTTAAGGGTCTTGCTATGGAGAGAACACTCTGGATTATCTGGTGAGCACTAAATGTAATCACAACTGTCCTTTAAAAAAAGGAGGCAGAGGGATATTTGACTACAGTAGAGAAGGCAATGTGACAAATGGAAACAGATTGCAGTGATGCAGCCAGAAGTCAAGGAATGTTGGCAGCCTCCAGACATGGGAAGAGGCAAGCAACAGACTGTCCTGGAGTCTCCAGAAGAACTAGCCCTGCTGACATTTTGATTTTAGCCCTTTAAGACTCAATTTGGGTTTCTGACTTTCAGAACTGTCAAAGAATAAATCTGCATTGTTTTAAGCCACTAAACTTGTGGAAATATGTTATAGTACAAAAGGAAACTAATTCATTTCCAAATCACTCTGTGGTAAAGAGTTATTTTTTACTCCCTAAAGCCCTAAACTAGGGATGAGGGAATGATATGCATGTGCTGTATTTTGATGATAGAGATAAAGCCTCTGAGAATATAAAAACAAATACTGATGGAATTCTTGTCATCATTTATTAAGAAGCTTACTTTAAAAAACAGAACTAAAAATGAATAAAAGATAAGAACATGAGTATTGTGTCTCAAACTCTTTATCCTTTGGAGAAACCAGAAAGGGTATGGGCAGCTGGGAGCAGTCCCAACCATTTTGCCCACTTGCCATACAAATACTAATACTTTTTATGAGAATGATGATGTAGAAGAGTTTGGAAATCATGAATCCAAGGCACTCCCCACTTATTTAATTAAGAACAGCTTGTAGGGATAAACAAGTGAGAAATAAAACTAAAGTATTTCTCAAACATGAAGTACTACAGTTAATATTTGGCTATTTTCAATTTTAAAACTCTTAAACTATTTAGAATTTGTGAAAAGTAAGAGATACTTACCCTAAACTGTCCATATAACGATATCATGGAAAAGAAAAGAACAACAGCCAGAGGACCCCAAAAGTCAGGATTGTCTCTCACCACTTGCCTATTAAAACCAAGTGATGGCATTGGCATCAAAACACATCGAATTTTGTAGTAAATATCCTTTAGGTCGATATCCAATTCTTCCCTATAATTTTAAAATAAGAATTCTTAAAAAGCACACACTTCTGAATACTGAGACAGTTGCAGCAGAATTTAAGAAAAGTTTAAATATAACATTACAGTCACCGCAGATCAACAAAACATTTGCATTTGAAGTACCACATTTCACTGGTTCCATGATGAACATTTTTATCATTTCAACATCTCTAAAGTTGGGATGCATCTCACAATAGCTGGTGTCTTACAACTGCTGTCAGTCTGGAGTGAAGCCAAGTGCTTCCAAGATCTGCCTTTCCTTTTGCCAGTCTCCTGGAGGCACTATCAACTTGGGACTTTAAATAAAATTCTCTGCTTGAGACTTTTTGGGACCGTACTGATAAATCAGACTGCAATCCTATATTCTCACAGACACTTTTTCTTCCAACACCCCACCCAGTGCCAAACAGACAAGCAAACTTCCTTGCTGTCTCTTTTTGTATGGTAGGTTATTTCTCATTTACCCTTACACTAAGCAGATAAGATAGCCCTTTGATGTCCTAGCTTTATGCTGTCCTAGGTACTTTTTCTGTTTTATCAATAAACGTGAAATAACTGCATCTTATAATCCATACCGTCTTAGATTTGATGAAATTCAGTATATTAACATTAAGAAACAGGATGTTTTAGCACTTGATCTACCAATAATTACTACAGAGAATAACTTGGTAATACCTTGATTTTACAAAGCTATAGGTTTTTCTTTCCAAAATTGTTAAATTCTTCACCTTTTTTCCCCAAGTTATACATAATCACTTAAAAATTTTCAAGTACTATGAAGAAAGTGAAAGTATCCCTATAGTCCTCCCAGTGGTAGCTCTAGAATTTCTATATGGGAGAGAGTTTGGAGGGGTAATCTTTTTGGAAATCTTAAACTGTACTTCCACAGCACGCACCCAAGCACCTTGCTTTTTTACTTACATTGTATGTTCACTTCAGATATCTATAGACCCAGGTAAGTCCTAAGAGTTTGGAGTATATTTGTGTATGATACAGGATTATGATTCTTTTAACTTTTTTGCCATTCAGTAGGTGAAAAATATTCTCTCATTATTTCAGTTTTACTAGTTACAGTTGACCTTGAACAACGTGGGGGTTACGGGTGCCACCCTCAAAGATCCACATATAATTTTGACTCCCCCAAAACTTAACTAATAGCCTACTGTTGACCAGAAGCCTTCCCAATTACATAAACAGTTGATTAACATATATTTTATGTTACATGTACATCTACATATACTTTATGCATTCATGACATACCTTTTTCTTAATTTTTTCGATACTTCTAGGCTACATGGTTCGTCTGCGAGTTTTTTCACATTGTTGCAAACTCAAAAAAATTTTCCCATGTATGTATTAAAAATAATCTATGTGCAAGTAGACCTACACAGTTCAAACCTGTGTTGTTCAAGGGTCAACTATAACAGTAAAACTGAAAATAGCTAAAACTTTTTACCAAAAAGGTTAAGATTTTCTATACCTGTCTTAAATAATATGAAAAAATACAATCATCCCACAGACTAGCTCTAAAAAACCAAAAGATACATATTATTTTTACATACAAGAGTGGCTTGTTATCTTCAGGGTCATCATCTTCAACTTCCAAAAGCCAGCCATATCCTCTTTGTCTCAGAAATGTGGTAGCTGTAGACTCTTTGATAAAATCTCCACCAAGGTTTAACTTGACATCTGGGGATGCTATTGAACCACTGAGATCTTAGGAGAAAAGAGGACAAAACTATAAACCAAGGTAAAATGTGTGTGAATCCTAACCAACATGAGTGTATATCCAACTAAATAATTATCGCTTGAAGATCTCTACATATGAACATCTGCTACTGCATACAATCTTTGTATTTTATAGTTGACAGTACTAAAAACAAGACAGCAGGCCCAAAATGGAGTCACTTATGCTAAGTCTCATGTCACCAAACCAAGACTTAATTACAGTTTTGGCCTCTCCCAGAAACAGAACCTTAAACTAGTGAATCAGGAAATCACTTGGTCAGCACTAGTGAAGTAATCTGCTTGACAGACCCCTGCAAACTCCTAAAGGAAAGTGACCTTGCCATAACTAATCCACTTTTAGCTAGTATAACTTCCTTGTCCCACTTCCTTCTGCCTGAAGTCTTTCATTTTGTACAGCTCCTCAGAGCTCCTTTCTACCTGCAAAATGGAGTGCTGCCCATTTCATGTATCACTGAATAAGCCAATAAAATCTTTAAAAGTTACTCAGTTGAATTTTTTTTCAGTAATGATATCTAAAAACCACTTTTTATTTTTACAAGAAAATGAAAACAAGAGAGGTGAATTCACATGAAAGGTTTCGCATCTAACTAGCTAGCCTTGTACCAGAATCTAGACTTATAACTGTAACTTTAAAATTTAAATGGAAGATATATACAAAATATATTACAGGATATCACTTTGGTTTTTTTGTTTGTTTGGTTTGGTTTGGTTTTGGCTGCACTGCGAGGCTTGCGGGATCTTAGCTCCCCAACCAGGGACTGAACCCAGGCCCGGCAGCAAAAGCACTGAGTCCTAACCACTGGACACCTAGGAACTCCCAACAGGATATCATTTTACATTCCCTTCATTATTATGTACATTATGTGCTTCAGAACAAAGTGATGTATAAATTCTCTTTAAAGGCATTACATATTTATATATACAAACCATTAGACATAATTATTTGCTAAAGGAAAACCGCAGATAACTTCCCTTACTTTTTCATATATTTATTCATACACTATTTCTTTTAAAACCAAATATCTATGCTAAGTGCCTCATACATTAATGCTTAGTTTTGGATAAATCTGACTAGTAAGAGTTTCCTGCTATTTCAGCTAACTTTTTTCTTTATATAATTACATCATTTATCTTTAGTTTTGGCAAAATAAAGGTTGTTGGTTTTTTTTAGGTCAATTCTAAAAAGCAGTGAAGGGCTTCCCTGGTGGTGCAGTGGTTAAGAATCCGCCTGCCAATGCAGGGGACACGGGTTCAAGCCCTGGTCCAGGAAGATCCCACATGCTGCGGAGCAACTAAGCCCGTGCGCCACAACTACTGAGCCTGCATGCCACAACTACTGAAGCCCGCATGCCTAGAGCCCATGCTCTGCAACAAGAGAAGGCACCACAATAAGAAGCCCGGACACCACAACAAAGAGTAGCCCCTGCTCGCTGCAACTAGAGAAAGCCCGCGTGCAGCAACGAAGACCCAACGCAGCCAAAAATAAATAAATAAATAAATAAATTTACATAGATAAAAAAAAAGCCGTGAAGAGACTCTGTTATCCACATTACAAAATAAATTCCACTCACAGCCTGTACCAGTGCCTTAGAGGTTACAGATAATCACAGTAGTACATATGTCAAAATTTCTGGTCGAAAAAAAATTGGGAATAGTAAAGGACTTGCTTGAGGTCATACAGGAATTAATAAAAAAACACATTTGTAGGACCAGGCAACATGCACTAGTAAACAACCATCAATGTTGTTAACTAGAAGTCAAAAGACTGGAGTGATACTTTAGAAAACAATTTCGGCAACAGCAAACCAGAACACTCAACACAGACCCTCCTTTCCTGGAGATCCTATACAGTAGAAGCAAGAGCTTAATTTGCACATTACCCTAAATTCTAGGTTAGCTTTTGAGAACTGCCATTAAAAAATTTTGGCTTAAACTTCAATCAATGAGTGGATCAATTATGAGTCACATAATGATCTGGTTCTGACAACTCCTGCAATTAATTATAATAAAGTTTGCATTTTGAAGCTAAGTCCTAGCTAAGCTACTAATTAATACAGCAAATCATTATTGCCTTCTGGTCCCCAGTTTCTTATTCAAAGTTCTTTCCAGGTTTAACATTACATGATTCTAAAAAGCTTTTATAGTTTAGTTTATTCAGCTAGAGACAAAGTGCAAGTACTTTTGAATTCACTGTCCTTCCCTACTTAAAGCTTAAAAATAGTCCCTATAGATGCTAATTGCCATAGAATCTTTTGATTAAAATATTCTCTCAAAATTACTTTCTGCTTCTTTGTCTTACTCTAAGTTGAAAATGAAAGAGTTGAAACTTAACTAAAATTCTACTTCCAATAGGTACAAAGAGTGCCTTTCTTGATTTAACAAGAGGAAAACTTAGATCAGGAAGTCATTAGTATAGCAGTGACATTAAAGGTTTTGGAATTATAAGGCAGGAAAGGACCTTAACAACTGTTTCCTGGCCTCTAGAAAAGACTGCACTTAAAGTCCTTAATCTAAACCAAAAAAGGATATATAAATTATAGTGCTAAGGAGTGCTGTGAGAAAGAATTGTATATGTTTAGCAGTTTTTCATAGCAGGGATGTAGAACCTCAAAAAGACACCTTTAGCTTATAAATTTGTAGTGTTTTCCATTCTATGCAAAGAAGGAAAATATCATGGACATATGTAGGAGAATGCTAGAAACAGCAGTCTGTAGTCTGACAAATCATCCAGTTCCCCCAAGACACAATTACATGTGAGTTAAAAAAAAAAAGCAACACAAGGGCTTCCCTGGTGGCGCAGTGGTTGAGAGTCCGCCTGCCGATACAGGGGACACGGGTTAATGACCCGGTCCGGGAAGATCCCACATGCCGCGGAGCGGCTAGGTCCGTGAGCCATGGCCGCTGAGCCTGCGCGTCCGGAGCTTGTGCTCCGCAACGGGAGAGGCCACAACAGTGAGAGGCCCGCATACAGAAGGAAAAACAAAAAAAACAAAAAAAGCAACAGAAAAGTAAAAAAACTCAGTAGTTAGCCTAACACGTGATCAAGTTAACAGGTAAAAAATAATGTCGGAAGACAATGAGAAATATTCAAAAAACAAACAAACAAACACTCCAGGAGCACAGATGTCTTACATTAAACCACAGTAAGAACCAGCTAGCTTGATCGTCAACTCTAGGACAGGTGTCCAGAATTATAAAACACTAATCTTAAATTAATCCTTTCTTACTACACTATAATATTCTTGTCATTTTCTAAGTAAAAAATAACATAAAGATAATAATAAATATAGGTGGTTTTAAGAGGAAATAATCTTTGAAAGAAATCTTAAAAATGTTTCCACTACTGTTTGGGTTCAGAGTGAGGAAAGAATACCAGTAAGTTTCAAGTTTTTTTGTTTTTGTTTTTAACATCTTTATTGGGGTATAATTGCTTTACAATGGTGTGTTAGTTTCTGCTTTATAACAGAGTGAGTCAGTTATACATATATATATGTTCCCATATCTCTTCCCTCTTTGTCTCCCTCCCTCCCCCCCTCCCTATCCCCCCCCTCCAGACAGCCACAAAGAACCGAGCCGGTTTCCCTGTGCCATGCGGCTGCTTCCCACTGGCTATCTACCTTACGTTTGTTAGTATATATATGTCCATGTCTCTCTCTCGCCCTAACACACCTCACCCTTCCCCCTCCCCATATCCTCAAGTCTGTTCTCCAGTAGGTCTCTGTCTTTATTCCTGTTTTACCCCTAGGTTCTTCATAACATTTTTTTTCTTAAATTCCATATATATGTGTTAGCATACGGTATTTGTCCTTCTCTTTCTGACTTACTTCACTCTGTATGACAGACTCTAGATCTATCCACCTCATTACAAATAGCTCAATTTCGTTTCTTTTTATGGCTGAGTAATATTCCATTGTATATATGTGCCACATCTTCTTTATCCATTCATCCGACGACGGGCACTTAGGTTGTTTCCATCTCCGGGCTATTGTAAATAGAGCTGCAATGAACATTTTGGTACATGACTCTTTCTGAATTCTGGTTTCCTCAGGGTATATACCTAGTAGTGGGATTGCTGGGTCATATGGTAGTTCTATTTGTAGTTTTTTAAGGAACCTCCATACTGTTCTCCATAGCGGCTGAACCAATTCACATTCCCACCAGCAGTGCAAGAGTGTTCCCTTTTCTCCACACCCTCTCCAGCATTTATTGTTTGTAGATTTGATGATGGCCATTCTGACTGGTGTGAGATGATATCTCATTGTAGTTTTGATTTGCATTTCTCTAATGATTAATGATGTTGAGCATTCTTTCATGTGTTTGTTGGCAGTCTGTATATCTTCTTTGGAGAAATGTCTATTTAGGTCTTCTGCCCATTTTTGGATTGGGTTGTTTATTTTTTTGTTATTGAGCTGCATGAGCTGCCTGTAAATTTTAGAGATTAATCCTTTGTCAGTTGATTCATTTGCAAATATTTTCTCCCATTCTGAGGGCTGTCTTTTGGTCTTGTTTATGGTTTCCTTTGCTGTGCAAAAGCTTTGAAGTTTCATTAGGTCCCATTTGTTTATTTTTGTTTTTATCTCCATTACTCTAGAAGATGGGTCAAGAAGGATCTTGCTGTGATTTATGTCATAGAGTGTTCTCCCTATGTTTTCCTCTAAGTCAAGTTTTATTAAAAGCCACCTGGAAAAACTGCAGAACAAAACTTAACAGTAATTTTCCCTCCCTTTCAACTCAAGTGTATTACTGGGTGAGGGATCTTTTCTCTGAATCTTCTCCTCAGCCTGAGAACTTCACTTTGAAGAATTCAGTCAGTGTAGTATGAGAGTATACTCAGGGTGAGATTTACTGATCTGCCCCTACAAAAGTTCTAGATTTCTATGAAAGAAGAGTAATCTGCAATGAACATGAACATTTTGTTGGTACTTGCCAACTTGTTATATAACATGAATAAGCGTTTTCTTGCTTAA